TTTCTTCTTCAAAATGACTCACTAAAATGATTGCATAGACTACTAGTGGGTTTCAATCTTCAACCTGAAAAACACTTTTAGTACACCTTTCTAGACATTCACTGGTAACTAAACTAGATCCTGGTACTAAAAGATGAAACCCATAATTACCAAACTATAATGACCTTAACCTCAAGGATTGGATAAAGTCAGTATCTCATACATCATTTTATCTACCACAATGCCAAACAAAATATTTATTAATCATTACTGGAGAGAAAGACTGATATTACATACAGCTATCATATTTATGATTAGACAACCATCGTTAGGACTGTTTTTGTGTTCCCATTACCTTGTTTCAAATTGTAGTTAATGATGGTCAAAATGGCTAGTTTTCAATAACACTTTGGCCTACATTTTCGCCTTCCTACCTTATAGGATTACATAATAGTCTTGCATAGTGGGGGAATACAGTAAGTACTGTAAAAATGTCATTTTCATCTTTCCCTCAGAAATATGAGAAAGTCTCTATATGGAGGACACCTATTACCATTCATTGGAACTGCTTCTCTTTTATCCCAAATACTCAGGCACTTCTGCTCTGCCAGTATCCTCATTTGGCCCGGCTAGCTTTGCCAAAATTGCAATAAGGGTAAGCCTTTTGTTTCAAAGGAATGACAGCTATTAGGGTTGAATGGCCTCTCTTGCCGTCAGCACCAAGGTTCTTGACCATTAAAGTCCTGTTAAAGTTGTTGACTCTTTCAAAAACATCATCAGTAATTTCAATTAAGAAAATGAAAAAGCAATGAAGTGATCTAATATCTGTACTGAATGGTTTTTTCCTCTGGTAAGGACACAACGGATAAGATAAGCCAATGGATAATGTGAAATTCTTAAATCTTAAACCTCAAAGACTCATTAATTTCACCATGAAATGATACATACAGATTCCTGAGGAATGCAGAACATCTAAAGGTACTCTGCTTCTCTTTTACTTCCACCTCCAGAGCCAGTTATAAGCTATTAGGGGTCTAGGGGGACAAGGTGAATATACAAGTAACAAATAAATGCTCTGAACCATCTAGAGTAAACTCAGTGTAACCATCAAGGTTTTAGGCAGAAATAAGCCCCTAGGACTTATCCAAGAAAACCTGAATCCCATTATCAGTCCTGAAACTACCCTAAGCTCCCTACTAGCCTATCTGCATATTGGGGTAATTGTAAGCCAAACTACAATTGGCCTGCCAGACTCCAAATCTCCACCATTAGGCTTTCCTTTGAGATCTGGGAGCATGAACCTTAACATTTGCTGGCTACTATCTCCTCAAGGCCAGACCCAGAGCTTCAACAATCACAGGGCTTTGGGATAGCCTTAATTTGGAATTCCTCTGTTATTCACTAACAATTTAAAATCATCTACATTAATTCTCACTGCTTTGCCCCATAAAAAAAAACACTAACTCAGAGCTGCTTTATATGCAAAATATTAAACCAAGTTAAAAAAAAGTAACTCCTGACATAAATATGTCATATGTAAAGTGCAAAATCTCAAAAATATGAATTACTTCAGGAATATCTTCTCAGAATGAAGACAAAATCAAATTACCCTTTTGATAGTGAATTGCTTTCCTCATGTAAATTCACACTCAAAAGCAAATGAAAGGCAAACATAGGTTATCTTTTTTCTTTAATGCATCAAATAAAAATGTTGCCTTTGGGGGGGAAGAACCATTAAATAGAACAGGTAGGGGGCTTAAAAATGTAACAACAATACAGACTTAAATTTAAAAAATATTCCTGTGTTGCCTTCTTGCTATTTGGCTAAAACACCTCCCTCCCTTTAAATCATCCTGTGTTGGGGTGCCTGGGAGGCTCAGTCATTAAGCATCTATCTTCAGCTCGGGTCATGATCCCAGGGTCCTGGGATGGAGCCCCACGTTGGGCTCCCTGCTCAGCGGGAGTCTGCTTCTCCCTCTCCCACTCCCCCTGCTTGTGTTCCCTCTCGCGCTGTCTCTCTCTCTGTGTCTGAATAAATAAATAAAATCTTTAATAAAATCAATCAATCAATCAATCATCCTGTGTTTACCAGTATTTTTGTTTTTTGCTAGATCACAGCCTCTCACCTTCCAGAAGTGGAATGCAGGTTATTAAGCTGGATTCTTCCTTTGGCACTCACCCTTTGACACATTCCACTAAATTTGAGATTTATTTATATTGATAACTACCCCTTTTAAAAACAAATGCATCCTGGAAAGGTTAATTCTATATTATCTTTCTTTCTTTTTTTTTTTTTTTTAAAGATTTTATTTATTTATTTGAGACAGAGAGAATGAGAGAGAGAGCACATGAGAGGGGGCAGGATCAGAGGGAGAAGCAGGCTCCCTGCCGAGCAGGGAGCCCGATGCGGGACTCGATCCAGGGACTCCAGGATCATGACCTGAGCCGAAGGCAGTCGCTTAACCAACTGAGCCACCCAGGCGCCCCTCTATATTATCTTTCAATTAAGACTCAAGGAAGAGAGGAAGGGAGAGAGAAAAGGAGGGAGGAAGAAGAAGACAGAAGAGGATGAGGGAATCATGTCTTAAGTGAGGTAGGGTATGAAATCAGCCATAGAGTCTTAGACCTGGGGCACCTGCGTGGCTTAATCGGTTAAGCGTTTGCCTTTGGCTCAGGTACTGATCTCAGGGTCCTGATCCCAGGGTCCTGAGATCGAGCCCCACATGGAGCCCCACATGGGGGGTGGGGGGGGTCCCTGCTCAGCAGGGAGTCTGCTTCTCCCTCTCTCTCTGCTCACTCTTTTTGTGTCTGTCTCTCTCTAAAATAAATAAGTAAAATCTTTAAAAAAAAAAAAAAGAGAGAGAGAGTCTTAGACCTAAGTAAATAAAATGGGAACAAAAAGCCTTCACTGGAGACACTGGAGTTCATATAACGTCCAGGCAATCAAAAGCTACACGTTACACCTGTGCCACAGACAGATACTAAATTAGACAACTTTAGGACAAAGCAAAGTAATAATACAGGTGGTAAAGTTATCAGAATTGGCATACAGAATGCATACAAACAAAATTTACTCAAAGATTTAAAAAGCTCCATTCCAAATAGTTGACTAAAGAGTCTCTAGAGTGTTAAAGGTTTTTGCCAGGTTTCCAATGAGGGTCTCCCAAGGACTACATTTAGCTGGGTGAAATAATTACGAAAGCCACATGTTTATCAGTATTTAAAACATGTGGCCCAAAATATACTCTATGCTCTAATTTAAAATACAATATAAGGTTTTAATTTTAGAATCCTCAGAGCTGTGATTTCTTGGTGTTTTTGCCATGTTTAAACTAGCCAGATACTTCCTTTAATACACCAGAAATACAAGGCAGAGAAGAGATTCTTTAAAATGAAAGGTTTGCCAAACTGCTTTGCCACAAAGCAGTTTACTAGACCACTGAACTTTGCTCCAGTTTTAATATTGGCTTCACTCAATATTAAAGCCACTATCAACTATAAATGCATCAAATGCTAGATACTGAGGTTACAAAACTGAACAGAATCTCTGCCTTTGAGGCAGTCACAGTCATTCAGCAGAAAGAGACATATGAACAGATAATTATAATACTACCTGATTAAGTTTTACAATAAGAAATATGAAGAGAACCTTGTACAAACAAAGTAGTAAAAGCCACTAAGTCAGCCTGGAGGACTATGCTAAGCCTATTGAAGAGGATTTGACATTTAAATTCATCTGCAATGAGGTAGTTAGGTTAGTCAATCTGTAATGTCCCTTCTGTTAAAAAAAGGACAAAAAATTGAAGGTCATGGAAATCTTATTTGTTAAAAATGGCTGATGCAGATTATTCCAGTTTGTTTATTAATCTAATTTCTGTATCAAAAAGAGAATATTTTACTCATACAATCCTCATCTTCTCTCCCAAACTTGTCCTCTTCCTGCATTCCTTTTCTTGGTAAATGGTTAATACCATCTAAAACTTAACCTTCCACAGTCAACTAACCACCAATTTCTACTGATTCTATTCCCTAGAGTCTCTTTATTCTGTCTACTTCTATCTCCAACAGCTACCATCATCCCTTATGTTGGAAGCTTCCAATAGCTTCCAAAAGAGTGTTCTTGTCCCTTCTCCCAATCAACCAATTCTCTACATTATGGCCAAAACGATTTTCCAAAGCACAAATCTGATCACATGACAAACCATCTTAAAAATCATTCAACTGCTTCCTATTGTTCTCAGAAGAAGCCCAAACTCTTCAGCATAGTTGTCAATATCTGGCCTGGCTTGCATCTTGCTACAATCTTTTATAGTACTCATATTGAACCTCTTGCAGTTTCCTCAATACACAGTACTCACTCACCATCCTCTGTAGAGCCTTCCAAGACTCCCTCAAAAGAAAATCAGATGACTTTCCAAAGTGATCTTTCAGCACCTTCTGCTTCTCCATTACCATACTTCCACACTATTACCTGTCTCTCTCCCCCAGGAAGCTGTAAGCTCCTTAAGGACAAAAACTATCTCACACATTCTTGTATTTCTTATCTAAAGCAGTATGCTTGCCTGGCACTGACCTATACTTCATGCTTGATAAAGATTTGTTGAATGCATGAATAAATGAACAAATGAATGAATAAACTGCAAAGAAAGAGAAATTCAATGACCTACAATTTGTCATAATACTTATTAGTTACACTACATAGAAACCTTTATTCTGCCTACCTATAGCATGACCATATTTAAGTCATGAGCCTATCACAATTAACCTGTTTTCAGAAACATAAAGGCAGCTATACCATAAACTCAAAATTCAAATGAGCTTAAAAATTTATTGATGTCCTCCAGTTTAGACAGTATAAACCTACTACTTAAGTCATTTTTTGGAATACATATGTATCAGAATCATGATATCCTATACATTTAAAATACAATTATAACTACACATGATTATATTATTTTCACAGGTAAAACACTGAGTTTGCTTTTTAACATAAATGAAAGCTGCACTCATCACTGACTCACCGATTCTTTTCCAGCTCATTGTGTGTAGACCTAAAAGGAAAACAAAAAAGACCATTTAGCCACTTGTTGCTAAGGCTATGGAAAGGGGGATTAGTTACCGCTATACCACACCTAGTGAATTTCTTTAACAATGCAATATATAGTCAGACTTCTATAACCTCACTCATCAAGAAGAAATAGTCTACATTCATTAGAACTATTCATTCGGATATGGTGTCTTCAGTTAACTAACTCTTCTGACACTGGTGTTCACTGTTATTTTAATAAAATTAATACCAGCACATGTTCTCTTGCCTACTTCTAGTTTCCTACATTTTGTTTATTTGTAGATTTTTAATTTTTTTTTTTAAGATTTTTTTATTTATATGAGAGAGAGAGAATGAGAGTGAGAGAGCACGAGAGGGGGGAGGGTCAGAGGGAGAAGCAGACTCCCTGCCGAGCACGGAGCCCGATGCGGGACTCGATCCCCGGACTCCAGGACCATGACCTGAGCCGAAGGCAGTCGCTTAACCAACTGAGCCACCCAGGTGCCCTATTTGTAGATTTTTAATTCAAACACTATCCCATTTTTGTTTAAAAAGAAAAATGTACTTCTATGTCCTCTTCTACCTCCACTTAGTAACTCCTAAACATAGGGAGAAAAAAGTTTTGGCTAGCACAGAAGCTGACAGGCTTGCCTTACTGTTAAGTGATACAAATTCAAGCTTTCCTAACCTTTGTGTAAAATATAACAAAGTTATACAAAGAAGAAAATAATATAAATAAAAGAAGATACATTAATAAAATCAAGAAACACACCTTTAAAAGACTGGGGGGATATATCTCAAAATGCTAACAATGGTTATTTTCTTTTTGTGACTTTTTTTCATTTTGCTTATCAGTATTTGTTATAATACTTATCAACTACTGAACAAATATAGTGTCTGTTAAACAGTGTGCTACACAGTTAACATATTATTTCATTTTATCCCCCAAACGACCCTTGTTTTTATAAGTAAGAATACTGAACCTCAGAGAGGTGGAGATAGGCTCTTGTCCCCAGAGTAGAAGTAGCAACCATGATTTAAGCCCAGGTCTTTCTTACTCCAAAACCCAAATTCTTTTTTTTTTGTTTTTTTTAAGTTTTTATTTATCTATTTGAGAGACAGAGAAAGCACAAGCAGGGAAAGGGGCAGAGGAAGAAAGAGAGTAGTAAGCAGATTCACCACAGAGCAGGGAGCCTGATGTGGGGCTTAATCCCAGGGCCCTGGGATCATGACCTAAGCCAAAGTCAGACACTTAACAACTGAGCCACCCAAGCACCCCCAAAACCCAAATTCTTAACTACCTGGTAGTTAAGGGCACAGACGATAAGGCCAGAGTGCTGGGTTCAAATAGTGTGTGGCCTAGTTAAAAGTGCCTTCATTTCTCTGTGCTCAGTTTCCTCAACTATAAAATAGGAAAAGTAACAGTACGTGCCTCATGTGATTGTTATGAGGAATAAATAAATTTATACTGAACAGCAAAATATAACAAACTCTAAAGTTAGCTATTATTAGAATTATGTTATATGAGTTCTCTTAAATGAACATGTATTACTTTTATAAAAATTTAGCATTAATAACATGAATTTTATAAAAGAGAATTTAAGTTCCTGTCACCAGATCTAAAACTTTAATCATTTGATATATCCTGGTTAATATCAAATGTCTTCAGAATATCACATTACTGATTACTTTAATCTGATTTATTATTCCAGTGGATATTTAACAATCACTTTTCTAAACTTTAACAATAGGAGTGTTTTTGTCAGTCTCATAATTTGTAGAAATTTTACCCAATTTTTTTTTAAAGATTTTATTTATTTATTTGACAGAGAGAGTGAGAAAGCACAAGCAGGGGGAGAAGGAGAGGGAGAGGCAGACTCCCCACCGAGCAGGGAGCCCGATGTGGGACTTGATCCTAGGACCCTGGGATCATGACCCAAGCCGAAGGCAGACGCCCAACCATCTGAGCCACCCAGGTGCCCCTACCCACTGTTTTTTAGTTCAAAAGCCAAAAGTCTTCTTTGAGTTACTATATCTTGTCCACTTTTTGCTTTCTTAACAGTTTTATAAGGTCCAAGTGACACAGGATGAAAAAGTCTAATGTTCATTTTCAAGAGATTATCTTTTTTTTTTTTAAAGATTTTATTTATTTATTCATGAGAGACAGAGAGAGCGCGAGAGAGAGAGGCAGAGGGAGAAGCAGGCTCCCAAGGAGCAGAGAGCCTGATGCGGGACTCGATCCCAGGACCCTGGGATCATGACCTGAGCCGAAGGCAGACGCTTAACCATCTGAGCCACCCAGGCGCCCAAGAGATTATCTTAATAAAAGCATTTCTCCCTTAAGAGGTAGAAAAAAAAAAATCTTAAGATGCTTCAAGAGTTCAGCCAAATTAACAGCAAGGATATGTATAATTCAGGTGAAAGAAATCATAAAAACATAGAACTTTTAGTTTAACAGAGACTCAAGAGCTCAAAACCCAATAAATAAATTACAACCAAATAAATTAAAACCAAAGTTTTAAGTTCTTTTTTGTTTGTCAAAGTAAATCAGCAAATCAGAAGAGGAAAAGGACATATCTTAAAGAGATTTAAAACAAAAAATACTGTTCAAAATTTGAATGGGCATTCAATAATGAAATTCCCTACCACCTTGTAGTAAGTTTTGGTTTAACTGTCTTTATCTTAAGAAAACTTAGAACAAGTAAAACAAAAACAATGGAATATAAAGTAAGTAATAAATGGAAACAATCTATTTAGAGAGAGGTAGACTATTTACCATAAACTTATCCTAAACAGTTTGGAAATCCCACATATGGCCATAACTGCAAAATATATATACCCAAAGATAACCAACTGTTGAATTCCAATATTGTATTAAGCCTATTGTCACCCACTGCTGTGAACAAAATTAAAACGGCAGTTCTTCCCACCTCTCTCAGACTTTTATCTTCTTTATAAAAAAATATAAAATGATAGCCAAGATTATGAACTTTTCTCCACCAAACCAAGAAATGCATGTCATATCTAGTTATACCACTAGTAACATTTAACAACATTTCCAAATACCACAAAACAAAAATGATCATGTATGTACTAATCTTTACCACATTGCCATGATCTTCCAATTTTTTTTTTAAGATTTTATTTATTTATTTGACAGAGACATAGCGAGAGAGGGAACACAAGCAGGGCAAGTGGGAGAGGGAGAAGCAGGCTTCCCGCTAAGCAGCAAGCCCAACGTGGGGCTCCATCCCAGGACCCTGGGATCATGACCTGAGCCAAAGGCAGACGCTTAACGACTGAGCCACCCAGGCGCCCTGATCTTCCAATTTTAAAAAAATTCATCAGTAGTACTTCTATTTTGATAGCTTTTTTGCCTGTAATCTTAAGTTAACATATACTTTGTTTCTTTAAGACTGTCTTAGGCTACAAGGAATCAAAGACAGTCTCCAGTTGGTAAATTTAAGACATGTATAGAAATAATTATACTTCAAGGCAAAATAAATATATGAAGAAAGGTACAAAGCATTGTGGGAGTTTAAAGTAGGCAGAATTTACTTCCAAATGTGGTTTTCAGGGTAAATTTTAGAAAAAGGTATCATCTGGTATGGATCTTAAATGATGACTATTTGCTACTAGTAGAGGCTGGACATGGGGGAGGACATACCAAGTGGAAGGGAGCATAAGTAAAAAAGCATAGCTGGCCCAGAACTATATGGTCAACTAATTTTCCAACAAAGCAGGAAAGAATATCCAATGGAAAAAAGACAGACCTTAGCACAAATGGTGTTGGGAAAACTGGACAGCAACATGCGAAAGAATGAAACTGGATCATTTTCTTACCCCATGCACAAAAATAAATTCAAAATGGATGAAAGACCTAAATATGAGACAAGAAAACATCAAAATCCTACAAGAGAACACAGGCAGTAACCTCTTTGACATCAGCCGTAACAACTTATGTCTCCCAAAGCAAGGGAAACAAAAGCAAAAATAAACTACTGGGACTTCATCAGGATAAAAGCTTCTGCACAGCAAAGGAAACAATCAACAAAACTAAAAGTTAACCTTTGGAATGAGAAAAGATACTTGCAAATGACATATCTGATAAAGGGTTAGTATCCAAAATATATAAAGAACTTCTAAAACTCAATACCCAAAAAACAATCTAGTTAAAAAAATGGGCAGAAGACATGAACATTTTTCCAAAGAAGACATACTGATGGCCAGCAGACACATGAAAAGATGCTCAACATCACTCATCATCAAGGAAATACAAATCAAAACTACAATGAGATATCACCTCACACCAGTCAGAATGGCTAAAATTAACAAGTCAGGAAATGACAGATGTTGGCGGGGATGCGGAGAAAGGGGAACCCTCCTACACTGTTGGTGGGAATGCAAGCTGGTGTAGCCACTCTGGAAAACTGTATGGAGGTTCCTCAAAAAGTTGAAAATAGAGCTACCCTATGATCCAGCAATTGCACTACTGGGTATTTACCCCAAAGATACAAAAGTAGGGATCTGAAGGGGTACGTGCACCCCAATGTTTATAGCAGCAATGTCCACAATAGCCAAACTGTGGAAAGAGCCAAGATGTCCATCGACAGATGAATGGATAAAGAAGATGTGGTATATATATACAATGGAATATTATGCAGCCATCAAAAGGAATGAGATCTTGCCATTTGCAACGACGTGGATGGAACTGGAGGGTATTATGTTGAGTGAAATTAGTCAAAAAGAGAAAGACATGTATCATATGACCTCACTGATATGAGGAATTCTTAATCTCAGGAAACAAACTGAGGGTTGCTGGAGTGGGGGGTGGGGTGGGAGGGATGGGGTGACTGGGTGATAGACATTGGGGAGGATATGTGCTCTGGTAAGCGCTGTGAATTGTGCAAGACTGTTGAATCTCAGATCTGTACCTCTGAAACACATAATGCAATATATGTTAAGAAAAAAAAAAAGAAGAAGAAGGTAGCGGGAGGGGAAGAA